AACACCTGCATATAAATATAATCCAGAATACCAAATCTAAACCAGGCAGTCCAGAATAGAAATTCAAATTGTATTTCAAAATTGAATGACAAAAAGAAAATAATATATAAATCTTAAAAAACATAAATTATGACAATGTAAATCCTATTATCCTAAAAAAGCTATAAAACATGTTTGTCAATGCTATCTAAATAACTAACTATCAAACTATAAACATAATATCTAACTAACTAAACTTAGAAAAAAAGTTGCCCATTGTTCTCTTATCTTGAGCATCTCATCTTCGGGCAATGGAGATGGATCTTGAAAGACCTGAAAGGGTAATTTAAGTGTCATTAATATGCAATGTTAATTATTCTAAAGGTAAATATAGTTAAATAAATTTTGATATGAATTACCTGCGCCCAAGAATCAATAATACCCGCAGAAACTATGGCTTTCATCCAATACATGATGTAATAGCCACATTCAAACGAGTCTTGTTGCTTATTACACTAAAATGAGAAACAAATAACTATTAATTCCAAAGTCAATAAATTTAAATATTATTGACTGTATGAATTAATTTGCTAACCTTAGGGTATATGAAATGCAATGACTTTGATGATCTGGCTCTTCCACTTAATATATTAGCTCCAGACACGATTCTAATTAATTGAAATAAAAATAAATGTTAGCCAATATATATAATTACAGTGTTAAAACATAATGAAAAAATTTAGTTACCCATGTAATTGGCTTTTAATTTCCTGGCTTGGTTTTCGATGAAGTGAACAAAACCACACCACGGTATATTCCTTAGGAATGATTACCATTAACTGCCAATGAGACCTACATTGTATGACAAACAAATCAGTTAAAAAATTACCATGATTAAAAAATCAATTAAAAAACTAACCCGTCAATGTATGGAGCCATGTATATATGTCTTCTTGAGTCACTCATCCATGTTTGCATATATTGTTGGATCTGGACCTGAGTGTTTCCTGATTTTTGGATGGATTGAGGCTCAATAAATCCATATACTTGTGTTTGTGCTTGCTCCACACTCAATTTGTCCATGTACCTAACACAAATAATTATTATAAGTTAAATGTAATTATTGTAAATTTAGACTCATAAAAGAAAATATGACTTACATGGCCCACAACTGTATGATATAAATATTTAACATGGAGTTTCCCCCAACAATCTCTAATGCATCAGGCAGGGATAGGTACAATGGAACATCAGAGCTATCAACTCCAAAAACTCTAATGTCCCACTGCAATTGAATTGGTCTCTTCCTTAATCATGGTAATATGGTTAGAAGCGTAGATATGGGATCATCTTCAGCTTCTGCGATATTAGCATGATCAACATGAGGTTCTCTCATGACCCCCTTACCACGATTGATAAAATCCTAAAGAAATAATCAAAATTAGTTAAACAATAATAGAATTATAAGAATATAAAAGAGCAATAATAGAATTACCTTTGCCCGTGTTGTAAGCGGCATCACCAAACATTTTGGCCAAGCTAAGAATGTGTCAGTTTCCTGCCCCACTAGTTGAACCTTTGTATTGGGCAAAGGTACTGGAGCAGCAACATATATATATATATATATATGTTACATGCATTTGTTATATAAAACACTGCGTCAATTGGACGAGTATTTTCCATCTTTTTAATAATTATTTATTTAAAGTATTTTTCTTATATTTTTAAAAGTTGTTCTACAATATTTTTTAATTGAGAAAACCACATGCAAAACATTGCTAAATTCACAAAATATAACACTTTTTTGTGAATTTTGGTGTAAAAACTATGTATTATGATAGAGAAAAGAATACAATTGTGGAAGTTGACAGCAGGCCCAAAAGAACAGTTGTCAGGCCCATTCGTTACAGGGATTGAAGATTCTCATTCAGAATGAAAATATTGCATTTCTATTAGTTTTTTTTTTGCCACATATGCATTCGGTTATTACATCATTTTGTCATTGTAGCATTTTGTTATTTGCATTCTTGTTTTTTTCTGCTGTATTGCGCCTATATATGAGGCTTGCAAAGTATTGAATGGGCACGAAATAGAAATTTCCATTTGTTTAATTTGGAGGTACCTTGGCCTCGAACTCAAGGAATTTACTGTGTTCATATCAATTTGGTGCTTTCATGGCTGATAATACCCGCTCTAAATCCCTTGACCGCCTTGAGGAGTCCGTGAAGCTCCTTACCCAACATCAATCCACCCTCACTTCTACCCAAACCGATCTCGCCACCAAAGTTGATGCCATTCTCACCCAATTATCTTCTCTCTCCATCCCTCGGCATACTGCCACCACCTCCACAAAACCCCACCGCCCTCATATGAAGTTAGATGTTCCGCGTTTTGACGGTATCGATGCCATGGGGTGGATTTTCAAAATCTCCCAATACTTCGACTATCTCGGTACTCCAGAATCGGAACGTCTTTCCGTTGCGTCATTTTACATGGACGGTCCAACTCTCAGTTGGTACCAATGGATGTTTCACAACGGCCTTATCCTGTCCTAGCAAGGGTTTTTGCAAGCCCTGGAGACGCAGTTTTCTCCTTCGTATTACGACGATCCCTGCGGCGCGCTTTTTAAACTCACCCAGCAAGGCTCTGTTAACGATTACTTGACGAATTTTGAGTGTTTGGCAAATCGCATTGTGGGTTTTTCCCCCCGATTCCTTTTGAGTTGTTTTATCTATGGACTTTCCCTGGAGCTTCGTCGGGAAGTTCAAGCGCATCAACCTGTCATGCTTCCTCAAGTAGTGGCTCTTGCTAAGTTGTAGGAAGACAAACTTGAAGATCATCGTCATTCTGTTCGCCCTCGACCTTTAATGGCTTCAACTCCCACTTCTTTGGCGCCCTCCCCTACCTCATTGGCGGTTCACACTCCAACACTGTCCTTACCAACCTCACCTGCCACCAAATACAAACACCTCTCTCAGGTTGAAATTGCCATTCGTCGCGAAAAAGGGCTTTCTTATTACTGTGATGAAAAATTTAGCCCCAACCACCGTTGCAAGGCTCGTTTCTTCCTTTTGCTTGCCGAGGAAGAATGCGTCGAGCCCATTGACCCCTTTCCTCTTGATTGTGCTCCTTCTCTTCTCGAGGATTCTCTCTCTATACTTGAGGGTCAAATTAGCCTCAATGCTTTATCGGGCCATTCCTCTCACGAAGCCCTCCACCTCGTGGGCCAGTTGGCCCAACATTTGGTTACTATCCTGGTGGACAGTGGAAGCACACATAATTTTGTGTAGGATCGTGTTGCTAAATTTTTGGGCCTTACTACACAACCTACTCCTCCTCTTCATTTTATGATCAGTAATGGGACTGTTGTCGATTGCAATTCCATTTGTCGGGCTACATCCCTACTCATCCAGGGGAAATCTTTTGTGGTTGATCTTTATGTCCTACCCATTAGTGGGGCTGAGGTAGTTTTAGGAGTCCAATGGCTCAAGGAATTAGGCCCAGTATTAACTAACTATAACACCCTCTCTATGAAATTCCTCCGTGATGGTTCATTGGTTGAATTCAAGGCCCATAACCCATCTTTGCCTTTAGACATTTCAGCCCACCAAGTTAAGCGCCTCATTTGCACAAATTCAGCCTCTGCCTTTTTTCACATCACTAGTACAAAAGGGGTCTTTTATGTCGGATATTTTGAGGCTTTTACGTCAGAAAAGGCTCCGACGTTAATACGGGAGACGTAAATTTACGTCGCCTGTCAAAGACGACGTAAATTTACGTCGGAGATGCCTTGTGCCCGACGTAAAAAAGAGGCAAGAATTTACGTCGGACTATACCTTGTCCGACGTAAATTTACGTCGGCTAGTGCTAGGTCCGACGTAAATTTACGTCGGACAAGGTATAGTCCGACGTAAATTCTTGCATTTTTTTTTTAAATTTTGGTTGTTTTTTGATATATCCAAAACCTGCATATATATAGTCCATAATATAAAACATAAACCAGGTAGTCCAAAATATAAAACCTAAACCAGACAGTCCAAAATAGAAATTTAAATTATATTTCAAAATTGAATGACAAAGAAAATAATATATAAATCTTAAAAAGCATAAATTATGACAATGTAAATCCTATAATCCTAAAAAAGATATAAAACATATGTTTGTCAATGCTATCAAACTAGAAACATAATATCTAACTAACTAAACTTAGAAATCTAACTAATATATACTTTGAAGAAAAAAAGTTGCCCATTGTTCTCTTATCTTGATGATCTCATCTTCGGGCAATGGAGATGGATCTTGAAAGACCTGAAACATTAATTTAAGTGTCATTAATATGCAATGTTAATTATTCTAAAGGTAAATATTCTTAAATAAATTTTGATATGAAATACCTGCGCCCAAGAATCAGTAATACCCGTAGAAACTATGGCTCTCATCCAATACATGATGTAATAGCCACATTCAAACGAGTCTAGTTGCTTATTACACTAAAATGAGAAACAAATAACTATTATTTCCAAAGTCAATAAATTTAAATATTATTGCCTGTATTAATTAATTTGCTAATCTTAAGGTATATGAAGTGCAATGTCTCTGATGATCTGCTTCTTCCACTTAATATATTAGCTCCAGACACGATTCTAATTAATTGAAATAAAAATAAATGTTAGCCAATATATATAATTACAGTGTTAAAACATAATGAAAAAATTTAGTTACCCATGTAATTGGCTTTTAATTTCCTGGCTTGGTTTTCGATGAAGTGAACAAAACCACACCACGGTATATTCCTTAGGAATGATTACCATTAACTGCCAATGAGACCTACATTGTATGACAAACAAATCAGTTAAAAAATTACCATGATTAAAAAATCAATTAAAAAACTAACCCGTCAATGTATGGAGCCATGTATATATGTCTTCTTGAGTCACTCATCCATGTTTGCATATATTGTTGGATCTGGACCTGAGTGTTTCCTGATTTTTGGATGGATTGAGGCTCAATAAATCCATATACTTGTGTTTGTGCTTGCTCCACACTCAATTTGTCCATGTACCTAACACAAATAATTATTATAAGTTAAATGTAATTATTGTAAATTTAGACTCATAAAAGAAAATATGACTTACATGGCCCACAACTGTATGATATAAATATTTAACATGGAGTTTCCCCCAACAATCTCTAATGCATCAGGCAGGGATAGGTACAATGGAACATCAGAGCTATCAACTCCAAAAACTCTAATGTCCCACTGCAATTGAATTGGTCTCTTCCTTAATCATGGTAATATGGTTAGAAGCGTAGATATGGGATCATCTTCAGCTTCTGCGATATTAGCATGATCAACATGAGGTTCTCTCATGACCCCCTTACCACGATTGATAAAATCCTAAAGAAATAATCAAAATTAGTTAAACAATAATAGAATTATAAGAATATAAAAGAGCAATAATAGAATTACCTTTGCCCGTGTTGTAAGCGGCATCACCAAACATTTTGGCCAAGCTAAGAATGTGTCAGTTTCCTGCCCCACTAGTTGAACCTTTGTATTGGGCAAAGGTACTGGAGCAGCAACATCTTGAACTTGGTCAACCACAACCCGTGTCCAGTCTGGGTGTAGAGGGACACCATGGATGGTTGAGTCACCCTCAAATACTCGGCCAATAGCCACTAACCGTGGGGGGTCATCCTCAACATATAACTTACACTGGTTTGGTAGATCAGTGTGAGTTTGTTCCCCTGAGGGATCTGGAGCAGCACAACTCCTTTTAGTGCTGACTCGAACACCATCATGAGCAACTGCAGTCTGTTGCTGAGAACGAGCAAAAAGTTCAAATTTATGTTCAAACTCTTCTCGAATGTTCTTTAATTTCTCTTCAAATTGCATCTCCATTCTCTGCATAGCCTCTTGACTGCAAGAGTAAACAGTGCTCCTCGATGATCGTGCACCAAAGAAATCTCGGTGGCTCCAAGAACCACCCACACCACGCACACGACCTGCGTGCTCTGGCCTTCCTATGGCCGCTGTGAGGATATCATCCCGACCATGGGAAACAAATGACCCCTGGGTGGTCAGCTCAACTAAACCCTCCTGCAACATATTAACAATAAGTATACCCTAAACTACACTTATGAATTAAATGAGTTGAAATGAAGAGTCTTAGTTTGTATATTTTTACTTACTATTTTATCAGCAACGACCCTTGCAGACTCAGAAGTCATTTGCCCATCTAATTTTGTCCGGGCTGCTATCCACATCTCATGGCGGGGAGGTGACTCCACACGGTCAGCAGACTCAACCCCTGCTGCCTCTGCCCTAGCCTTCATCATTTTCTTTTTTTTTTAATTCATATCCCCCTCTTGACAAATGATGGGGTGCATCATTCTTGCTCTGTCGTTCTTGGGCAGCTATTCTTTTAGCCTGCAATAATACAAAAAAGAAAATGAGATTAATTAAAATAATGATTAAGTATTTGTGTCAATGTAAGAGTTATCAATAACTAACCTGCCAAGAAGGGTCCAATCGAGTGGCACGAAATTGCATCCACTCCTCATCAATGATCTGGTATTTTAGACAGGGAGTCTCATTTTGTTGCTTTCCAAATACATACTCCTGTGTCAAGAAAGTCTTGAAGTCTCTCCACCTGGTGGCAAGGGCAGATAACATCTTCCTCCTCATGATCTCAGTGTTGGGAATGTCAAAATTTTGCTATGAAAATAACAACAAATAATAAATAATGTATTTAAGTTATATAATATTGAAGGATGTGAAAGTATATACATGAATATCTTGTCACATGAGGTTCTTGTCAGCCTCCTAAACATCATCCCATGATGGAATGATAATAGAAACATGCCAACGAGCTAGGACTCCCAAATAGCTCTTAAACTTGGCAACATTTGGGCCTGACGCCTTGCCAGAACGAGGATCCACCTCAACTGGTGTCCTCTCCTTGGCAATGCATCCAGCTGTCAACCCAAACAATCAGGTGACAGATCTACCTTCCCTCCTTCCACTGCCAGACCCCGAATCCTCCATAATTCTAAAAAAATTAAACTCTCATTATTAAAACAACGAATTAACTGAATAGACAAATAAAGTAAAAAAGATAATAAAAATATAACAACAAAACAACTAATATAAAAAAAAATAATACACAAACAGAAACCTATTAGGTTGGAATGTTTTCCCATATTCCTTCATCATGATCACTTAGAATAGCATGTATTTCGTCCACTTCATTGTCCGCAATAGGACCAAATGATCTGCTTGAGAAAGACGGTGTCTCATGCATATCTAGAGACTCATCTTCGTGAGTTCCATGTATGGTTCTTCCTTCGAGGACCACTGACCATTTCTCATTACATGGATCCCTGACATAAAAAATTTGTCTTGCTTGATATGCCATAATAAAAGGTTCATCCTTATAACCGACCTTGTTCAAATCAACCAAAGTAAATCCTAAATCATCTGTCCGCACACCCGTATTGCCATCAACCCATTTACACTTGAACATAGGCACTCTAAACGTAACATAATCAATTTCCCATATGTCTTGTATGACTCTGAAATAACTCATAGATGCTGTAATGGGATTTTTATCTTTAGAACTAGCAAAGTGCACAGCCTCGGCCTGAATTGTAACCCCACTGTTTTGTACTCTACTTTTGTCATCTTCTATCTTTGTATAGAAACAATATTTGTTAATGTCATACCCACCAAATGTAATGACATCGTTGTTAGGCCCACGCGCGAGTCTCAAAAGTGTATCAGAAGCATTAACCTCACCATAAACCTTTTTCTTAAACCAAGCTAAGAAACTCTTGTTATGTTCATTCAATACCCATTTCTCATTCATCCGGGGGTGTGCTATCTTGATTTCATCTATGTGTTCAGATATGTAAGGAATTACTTCATCAGTGTTGTTCAATATGTACAAATGTGCTTGGTCAACTTCTGTTCGACTCACAGTTCTAATCTTTAAACTTCGAGTACCCTTACCAAATTGTTTCCCATCATGTCGAGTCTTGGGAATTCCTATTGGTTCTGATTTCGACATGTACCCTGAACAAAACTCAATGGCTTCTTCTGCAATGTACCTCTCCACAATAGAGGCTTCTGGGCGGTATTGATTCTTGACATATCCTTTTAAGATCTTCATGTATCTCTCAACAGGGTACATCCATCTAAGATAAACCGGGCCACACAATCGAATCTCCCTAACCAAATGAACTATCAAATGCACCATGATATCAAAAAATGAAGGTGGAAAATACATTTCCAATTGACACAAGATTGTGATTGCTTCATTTTCTAACTCATTTAACTTTAGAGGGTCAATTACTTTGTTGTAAATGGCATTGAAGAATAAACACAATCGAGTAATAGAAACTCTAATAGAAGATGGTAAAATGTTACGAATAGCCACAGGCAAAAGTTGTTGCATTAACACATGACAATCGTGAGACTTTAAACCAATCAACTTCAAATCTTGCATAGACACCAGACTCTTAACATTTGAGGAGTACCCTTGTGGAACTTTCACACTGCTAACCACTCGCAAAATCTTTTTTTTTTCTTTGATAGAGTATGACAAGCTGGAGGCAA